CAAGAGCACGGTCCCCTGACCCTGACAGGTGGGAGCCAGAGGGCCCAGCCAACTCTGCTGGCTCCGCACCGGCTCCAGCTCAGCTTCCTGTGCCACGCTGGGAGCTCCCCGTGCATGTGTGGGCAAACAGCAATGGCTCCGCTCATACGAGGAGCGTCTGGCTTGCTCCGCCCGCAGCTTTCCTGGCCCAGGGCATCAGGCTCAGCCCCTGGATCCTGAGGCTGCTTCCAGACCAGCGCTGGGCCAGGGCTGCCTCTCAAGGACACTCACTTTGGAGTAGGGGTCTGGGAAGTTGAACTCGTTCAGGCAGTGTTCCCGCGTGTCCAGCAGGCTGCGCACAGTCAGGGTCCCGTAGGCGCTGGGGACAGGACCAGGGTGGACAGCGGCTGAGCAGGCCCGGCCCGCACTCAGCCCTGTCGGGGCCCCCCATGGCAGCCAGCAGAGGCTGCAGGTGCACGAGGCATGTAACGAAGGGGCTGTGGGGCCGGATACTCACCAGGGCTGCTGGCGTAGCACCTGCAACTTGTCCCGGTACTTCTGCCGGAACTTCTCAGCCCGCTCGGCTGCGTCCAGGGCTTCAGGCTGGCTCGCCACGGCACGCTTCACCACCTGCCACGAGAGGCGATCGGGTGGAATCTACACACCGCCCATGTCAGGGACCATGGAGGCTGGTCCCGTGTGCTGGAGGATCCCAGGCTGGGTGGCTTCTCCTGGCCACCCAAGGACAGGTCCGGACAAGGCCACCACAAAGCCCGAGGCCAGGTGCACACCCTTGGACAGAAGTTATTCAGGATGACAGCATGGTGGCAGGCAGGGCCTTGCTGGGACAGCCCTCTGGCCTCACCTCTGAGCCCACCGGCTTGGCCCAAGCCTCTTTGTGGCCACTCTGGCCCCAGGGGAGGGCGTGGTGCAGGTGTCACTTCCTGGTGCTCATGGGTTCCTCAGCTGTGCCCCACAGGGCCACACTAAGGAGCAACACGCTCTGGTACCCATTGCTGGAGGCACAGCAGGAGTGTACCAGCTTGGCTCCCGGTGGCATGCCCCACCTGGGCCCTGGGCACAACCAGATGAGTGGGACGCTCGAAGCTCATTACCCCCCTCGCCAGAAGTCGGAGCCCACGTGGCCCCTTACCCCGTCCAGGGCCTCCTCGAAGCAGCCGAGCCAGTACTTGCGGGCCAGGGCATCGTCGGTGAGGTCGACCGTGTCCGGCACGTAGGAGGCAGGGTCCCGGAGCAGTGGCAGGTCTACCAGCAGCCTTTCCAGCCGGTCCATCTCCAGCAGGTCGAACTGGGGAATGCAGCAAGGGAAGGGTTACTGGGGTCCTCAGAAGACCCAAACCCTCCTGTGGAGTGCCAGAGCAGAAGGCATAGCTGGCCTTCCACAGTGCCCAGTGCCTGGGCCTGCCCCCAGGAGTCCTGGGCCGTCGTTCCACACCAGCTAACTCTGGTATTCGCTCCCACTGGTCCTGGGCCACACCACTGGTCCTGGGCCGTGCCACTGGTCCTGGGCCACACCACTGGTCCTGGGCCACACCACTGGTCCCCAAGGGACCTTGGCTCAGCACTGCGGTCCCTGCAGATGGCCTGGATTCCCAGTTGTGTCCCCATCACTGGCCTGTGTGTGCCTTGGCTCGGCTGGCCAGGACTACACCTTGCCCTGCTGCTGGGGAGGCTCAGGGCATACGTGAGCCCGGAATGCCCTCTCACTAGGCGGTCTCCCTGGCAGAGATGCGCCAAGACGTGGCTGAGTGTGCCCACTTGCATGCCCCACAGTACGCCTTGCCACAGCCCTTCTGGGCCGGCCTGCTGTGAGAACCAGCCGACGGGCAGACGGGGGCGGGGCGCCTGACGTTCTCGTGCCAGGGCTCACCCACTGTCCAGGCGTATGTGCCGCCCCCAACTGGACTTTGAGGCACAGACTAAGGACCTTGCAGCAGGTCACTGCCACAGCCCCGGAGCCGCCTGCTGGCCTTGCTGTCACCAGGACCCGCAGGGCTGCCAGGCCCACGACTCACAGTGCCGCTGCGGGCCCGCTGTGCGGGGCAGAGCCCCGGGGAGGTGCTCCTGAGGCCCGAGCTGCCCGCGTAGTTCTCACCCCAGCTGTACTGGTCGGGGTCTGTGGAGACAAGAGGCCGGCGCACTGACCCAAAGTCTGCCCGCCCACCTGGCCTAGACACCCTCAACCTTCAAACCCCTTAGTCTCCCCCATTCCCAAGCCACCCCAAGTACAGAACAGCCCACAGGGGTCACAGCCTGTGGGGGGTCACAGGCCATAAGGGAAGGGAACAGGCCATGGGGGGGGTCACAGGCTGCGTGTGTGTGTGGGGGTCACAGGCTGTGTATGAGGGGGGACACAGGTTGTGTGTATGGTTACAGGCCTCTGTGTGTGTGTATGTGGGGGTCACAGGCCGTGTGTGTGTGTATGTGTGGGGGTCACAGGCTGTGTGTGTGTGTGTGGGGTCACAGGCTGTGTGTGTGTGTGGGGTCACAGGCTGTGTGTGTGTGTGGGGTCACAGGCCATGTATGTGTGTGGGGTCACAGGCCATGTGTATGTGTGTGGGGTCACAGGCTGTGTGTGTGGGGGGGGTCACAGGCTGTGTGTATGTGTGTGTGTGGGGTCACAGGCTGTGTGTATGTGTGTGTGTGGGGTCACAGGCTGTGTGTGTGGTCACAGGCTGTGTGTGTGGGGTCACAGGCCGTGTGTATGTGTGGGGGTCACAGGCTGTGTGTGTGTGTGTGTGTGGGGTCACAGGCTGTGTGTGCATGTGGGGTCACAGGCTGTGTGTGTGTGTGGGGTCACAGGCTGTGTGTATATGGTGGGGTCACAGGCCGTGTGTGTGTGTGTGGGGGGGTCACAGGCCGTGTGTGTGGGGTCACAGGCCGTGTGTGTGTGTGTGCATGTGGGGTCACAGGCTGTGTGTGTGTGTGTGTGTGGGGTCACAGAACGCCACGAGCACTCACTGTCTTGCTCAGCTCCCTTCAGGAACGCCCCGATGGCGCCCAGATAGCCTTCGTGCCTTAGGAACAGCGCCTGGACTTCCCCCTGCACGACCGAGTCCCCGTAGGGCCACACGTGTCACCAGGGAACACCCGGGCACAGCCGTCTTCCCGCCCGTGCCAGCACCCGGACGCCCCACAGTGCGGCTGGCAGGAGGGGCGGGCCGGGCCGGGGCGGAGCAGCTGGTACCTTGGAGAAGAAGTTGATGCTGTAGGTGATGGTGCGCATGGTCACGGGGTGGCCCCGGATGAAGAAGCCGCCGAAGTACACGCGGTCGAGCGCGTGCAGCCGTGCGTACAGACAGGCCAGCTGCCCGATGTCGTTGCTGATCATGTGCAGCAGGCTCTTGGCCAGGTCCTCCGGGGAGAACTCTGCGAGCAAGGAGACGCGCTGTCCCAGAGCCCCGCAGCATGGGACGTCGGAGTCCCTCCCACATCGGTGTGGTTCTGCTTAAAGGCCAAAGAAAGCAGCTGGCGCTGCAGTGGAGCCAGGAAAGCCGGCACCTGGGACCCAGCGTCCCAAAGAAGTGCCGGTTCGAGTCCCGGCTGCTCCACTTCCCGTCCAGCTCCCTGCTGGAGCCTGGGAAGGCAGTGGGTGGCCCTGTCTGGTCTCTGCACCTGCATGGCAGACTCGGAAAGAGCTCCTGGCTTCAGATCAACTCAGCTCCGGCCACTGTGCTTGTTTGCCGAGTGACCAGAAGATGGAAGACCTCTGTCTCGCCCTCTGTGATTCTTTCAAATAAATAAATCTTTGAGAGATACAGGAGGGCACAGCCAGAAGCCCCGGCGTGCCGGCTGCAGTGGCCGTCCTGGGCCCTGGCCGTGTAACTGCTGGCAGCACACAGTTTGGGGACGGACCCCGTGTGTCAGACGATGGTGGACAGCAAGGGTGCCCTGCAAGCCCGGTGCCCCTGCCCCAGCTGGCCTGGTACCTCCGTCGGCCGTGGCCGACTTGCCGAAGCTGCTGGCAATCAGGTTCCCGCTCAGCCCCAGGGTCTGGTGGGCGCCGCCGTATACGTCCCGCACCAGCATGTCCACGTGCGCGTGCTGGCCGCGTGAGGCCAGCTGCAGCAGCTCGTCAAACTTCTGCAGGCGGGCAGACGGTGGCAGTGAGGCCAGAGGGCCAGCGGACTCCAGGGACCCTGGCAGGAAGCCGTCCTCCCACGTCCCTGGCCCCGCTGCCCCTCCAGGGAGCCGGTGGCTGCTACCTTCGTCTTGGTGAGCAGAGCTCCGAGTCCCCAGAAGGTGCCTCCTCCGATGGAGCTGCCGCCGACCCACTCAAACCTGTCCTCGGCCTCCACCTGCAGCATAGCAGGGCAGCCGGGGTCAGCGGGCCCGGCCTGTGGGTGCCAGTGAAGCACTGCCCGCGGCAGCCTGCCTCACCTTCACGATGGAGACCCCAGAGCCGATGTTGACCAGCAGGTAGGGGAAGATGTTGGGGTGGTTGGTCTGGAAGCGGAACTCGGGGTCGGTGTCCTGCTGGCACACGAAGGCCTCCTGCGGGATGTTCCGGAGCACGAAGTTGCAACCCTTGATCAGGCAGCTCATCACGTCCTCCTTGGCCACCCTGGAAGGCAGGGCCGCCGCTGACTGCCTCACGCCCGCTGCCGGCCGGCCCTGCTGAGCACGGCCCAGGGTCCGGTCTCCCGGCACTGGCCGCTCACCTCAGCTGCAGCTTCTGCTCAATGAGCTCCTTGAACTTGTAGGCCCCGCCCCCAGTCGCTTGGATGACCTTGGTCTCTGTGTTGACCAGGTGGTCTTTGATGAAGTCCAGGCAGGCCTCGATGTAGGTGTTCTCAAACTTGATGAAGTGCAGGCGGGCGCTCACCTCCTCCTGCACCGACACCTCATAGGGCGGCTCGTGTTCCCGCTCTGCGTCCTAGGGATGTGCAGGGGCTGCCGGGGTGCTGCGTGTGCTGGGGGAGCCCGGCCCCACCCGTGTGTGTGTGCATGCTGGGGGAGCCCGGCCCCACCCGTGTGTGTGTGCATGCTGGGGGAGCCCGGCCTCCACCCATGTGACTGTGCACACATGTGCTGGGAGAGCCACCACCCTTGCAGGACTACTCCTTGCAGTGGCCTACTCCTGGCCAAGGGGGAAGGGTCTGTGGGCTGAGTGGGCCTTCCTAGGGGCCCATGGCGCTGGCCTGGTGGGCACGGCGGGGACAGAGCAAGGGCAGGGCTCATGGTTGACGCTCACCTTTCCCGAGTGGTCAAAAGACCTCACCCTGGCTACCTTGTGCTGCACGGTGGAGTAGTAGGCCAGCTTGGTGAGCGAGCCACCTGCAGGGAGAGCTGGGCCTCAGTGAGTCTGTGGAGTCTCAGAGACTGAGTGGTCCCTCTGCAGGCCTGCCCTGTCCCTGGGGCCACTGCCCACAGGCCTCGGCGACCACCCAAAGCAGCAGCTGGCAGACTCAGTGTGCAGTCACAACCCTCACTCTGGCAGAGCACGCAAGTAGATCAGCATCTTCCCAGGGGATCAGCGGACAAGAGGCAGAGACCTGGGCCAGGATCTGCCTAACATCCCTGACTCCTGGGACCCCCACCTGTGGCCCCACACGTCCACTCTCCTAGAACATGCTCAAATATAACTCCTGGAAGCCAGAGGCATAAAGGACAGGAGGAACACCCACCGGCCACCACTCTCCAAGTGCTGGCCAGTCAGAACCCAGCCCGGGGCTCCGGGTGGACAGGTGGGCAGGCGGCAGGGGCCTGGAACCCAGCCTGGGGCTCTGGGTGGGCAGCAGGGCCCAGCAGTTGGGGATCAGCACCTGCTAAGAAGTGGGAGGGAACAGCGGGACCAGGACTTGAACCCAGGGCTTGGGCATGGAAGTGGGCGGAGTGGGTGTCCCAGGCAGGGCCGCAAGGCCACCCCCCTCAGGGGAAGTGCAGTGACTGGGGCCCTTGGACAAGCAGCAGGAGCAGGGCAGATTCTGGGTGCTTGAGAGGCCTGGGCCAGGGTTGTGGCATGGTGAGAAAACACTATGAATGCGAGAGGAGCAACACCCAAGCCTGGCAATACCAAGGCGCCCGAGACGCAGGCGCAAACCACGGAGCCCAGACGTCTCGCGGCATGCCCGAGCCGGCCCTGTGGTGCCAGATGGGCTGCGGTCCGACTTATCCCCTGCCCCAGTCCTAGCCCCACGCACCCCTCGAGAGGAGTCAACCCAGCCAGAGCACGGGGCGTGAGGGAGAAGTCCTGAGTCACATGCTCACTCCACGATGGAGCGTGTGGAACAGGGTCCCTCGTGGGTGCCCACAGGCCACCTGACAGCAGACGTAGGGGCAGGGGCACCCCAGAAGCCCAGGCTGGCAGGGAGCTGACTGCCTGGCTCAGCAGCGCCGCCCTGGAGGCTGCCTGGGGAAGGCCAGGACAATCCTGCCAGGTGCCTCGCCTGGCCACCAGCAGAAGCCCAGAGCAAGGTCAGACCTTGAAGCCTGTTTCCTGAAAGGCTGAGGTGCCTGGCTGGCGGGGTCCTGGGCCTAAGCTGGGTTCCACAGGAAGTGAGCCCACCTCACAACACCCCGAGCCAGAGTGGCCAGGGCTTTGGGGGACTGTGGTCCAGCCCTGCCAGGACAGCATAGCCATGGCTCTGTGCGGTCCCATCGGGCCACAAACCCAGCACCGTGCCAGGTGGGCACCCAGAACCCAGGTCTGGCCAGCCCGGCCGTGGGACAGGTGGGGCAGTATTCTGTCCTCAGTCTGGGGAGTGGGGTGTCCAGCCGTCGAGTGAGCGAGCCGTCAGGCACAGGGACAGCCCTGAAGGTCAGGTGGCCAGGTGCCCGTGATCAGGCTGGGCAGAGCGGGCACCGGGGAGCCTTCCCTGGGATTGGGGTCTGAAGGTCAGGTGGCCAGGTGCCCACAGTCAGACTTGGGATGGGGGTCTGAAGGTCAGGCGGCCAGGTGCCCGCGGTCAGGCTGGGCAGAGCAGGCCCCGGGGCGCCTTCGCTGGGTGGGGGCGGTACACGGGCCTTGCTCTCCCGGGGCCCCGACCTCTGCCCTCACAGCAGCCGGGATCCCCGGGGTCCCCAGGCGCCCATCACACCCGCTCTCGGGGTGCCGTCCCCCACCCCGGGGTCACCAACAGGCACCGGGAACCGCCGAGAGGGGCGAGGGACTAGGGGGAAGCGCTAGCTGGCCGACAGGCCAGGGGGGACGCGGCGCCGTGGACTCCGCACCGCCCCACGGCCAACAGCCCCCCGGGGCGCTCCTCACGGCGGCCGCACCGACTACGAGTCCCGGCAGCCCCCGGTCCGGCCCCGCGGCGCCTGCCGGGAGCGGTAGTCCGGCCGCCGCGTCCAGGCTGCGCGCAGGCGCCTCGGGGGACTACAAGGCCCGTGAGGCCGTGCGCGGCGGCCCGCACCCCCGCCCTTCGTCCTTCTCGCCGCCCCCGCTCGCCGCGGCCGCCGCCGGCGCCCCGCGCGTCCCGACCGAGCGCCGTCGCCATCCGGCCCGCGGCTACCTATGTCGATGGCGAAGCGCTTGGCGTTCTCCAGGTTGCGGAAGATCTCGTCGGGCGGCAGCGTGATGCTCTTGTCCAGGCTGTCTCCGCTGCTCCCGCTGCCGCTCGCTCCGCACGCCGCCATTTTGAAAGTGCCCGGCCGGCCTCATCGTCCATGGAGATATATGCGCATATATTTGAATGTTAAACACCCCGCGCATAGATTATGCTAATGAGCCCGCCTCCGCGGTCAGCGCCGGGGGGAGCGTGCGGCGCGGGTGGAGGGCCACGCCACTCGGGAAGGCCAGCGCGGGTGGACTCGCGTGTCCGCGGCCCGGCTGCCTTCCCGGCAGATGGGAGCTCTGGGCACAGGCTGAGCGGGCATCCCAGGTCTTTGGGCACTTGGCCGGAGAGCTGCCAGGCTAGCTCGGTGGTCAGCTGCCTGGGGGGCCTGCCTCCTGTTGGGGTTCCCGTCAACGAGCAGAGGAGGGGAGCCCCTCTGTGTGAGGCCCCGGCAGGCCTCAGGCAGGTGGTGATGGTGGTGGGGGGGACAGGCCAGGGCCTCCTGCTGCTCTTCTGGGGTGCCCACAGATCCCCGGAGACACTCAGTGGCCGTGGAGTCCACCTAGAAATAGGTGCCCTTCCCACAGCCAGGGATCCGCCCAGCGGTCGGCGCGTGCAGCTGGGGCAGGCGGCTGCGTGGGCGCTGCCCCCGCGAGGCTGGCATGGCTGGCCGCCTGCCCAGGCGAGCCCCTTGGCTGCCCGGTGGCCCACTGCCAGCCTGTGCCGAGGGGACCCGTGGCTGCCATGGTGCCACCCTCCGGTGCCCCCTTCCCACCTGGCAGGGGCTGGTGGAAGGCCTGCGGGGGACCTCGGGTCTGGCCCAGGAGGGGGGTCCTGGCACTCCTGGCCCCGGGGCAGGGAGGACAGGCCAGAGGCAGACAGGAGACCAGGGTGGAGGACTGAGACTTTATTAGAAGTGTTCAGAGCAGTCCGTGGCCTCCCACGGGACCGAGAGTTCAAATTCTGAGTACAAAGCCGTGCCCACCGCACGCGCCCCTTCCCGCTCCCCCGCCGCCCACGCACAGCGGATCGCGGCGGGGACCCCGCCCCCGACGGCCCCCTAGGAGCCCGATCCCGTCCTATGAGGATACACCTGAGTTCGGCCTTCACAAAAGGCAACTGTGCGGACCCCACGGATGGCACAGAGCCGCGGGCGCCCGCCGGGACTTCGCGGAAGTCACCTGCCGGAGAGCAGACACGCAACGACCCCGCGGGGTCAGGCGCGGGTGGGCCCGCCGCCGCGACAAGGGCCGCGCGCGCGCGTTCTCTGAGAACGACCCTCCCGCCGGCCAGCCGGCCCGCGGCCTGGCGCAGGGCGGGGAGGCTCCTCCCTGCCGCGGGAGGAGTGCGCGCTGCCCCCGGTCACCAGGGCCGCCAGAGGCCGCCGGGGGGCTGGCGCGCGGCGGCCTTGGCCGAGGGTAGCGCGGCCGGGGACGCGGCGCTCGGCGCCTTGGACTCGGCGGCGGGGGCGGCGGGGGTGGCGGGCGCGGCGGCGGGCCGCTGGAAGTGGTACAGCAGCTTGAGGTGCGTGTCGCTGGCGGAGTGCAGGGTCAGGAACTGCACGGCCTCCTGCAGGCACCACGAGTAGCCCTCGCTGTAGTCCTGGTGCAGGCTCTTGGGGCCGGCGGCGGCGGCGAAGGCTGCAGGGAGATGCGAGTGGGCGAGTGGGCCGGGGGGCCAAGCGTGGGGCTCGGGAAGCAGGGCGACGCGGGCTGCGCGGGGCCGGGACGCGGGGGGAAGCGCGGAGTGTGCGGGGAGGCGCGTGGTGCGTGGGGCGCGGGGGTGCACGGGGCCGGGGCGCGGGGAGACGCGAGGTGCGTGGGGCGCGGGGGTGCACGGGTCCGAGGCACGGGTTGCACGGGGCCGGGACGCGGGGGAAGCGCGGAGTGTGCGGGGAGGCGCGTGGTGCGTGGGGCGCGGGGGTGCACGGGGCCGGGGCGCGGGGAGACGCGTGGGGCGCGGGCGTGCACGGATCCGAGGCGCGGGTTGCGCGGGGCGCAGGGGAAGCGCGGAGTGTGCAGGGAGGCGCGGGGTGCGCGGGGCCGGGACCGCTCACCTTTGCTATGCTTCAGGTAGCTGACAGCCATCTCCAGGATGTCGGCTTTCTCCAGCTTCGAGTTAGGCTGGTGCCGCGCGAACTCCTGCTCCAGCAGCAGCTTCAGCTGCTCGATGCTGCTGTTGATGCGGTCCCGGCGCATCTTCTCCACCACCGGCTTCCGCAGCTGCGGGGGGAGGGGGCGTCAGGTGGGGCGGCGGGCGCGGGGCGCGGCGGGGCGGACGCGCCGGCCAGGGCTGGCACTTACTCGGTTCTTCTCCTTGGGACTCAGCAGCTCCACGGCCACGGTGCTGGGGGCCATGCCGGGCGCGGGCGGCGGGCGCGGGCAGAGGGGCCAGGCGCGTCCCGGACTTGGCTCGCGCCCCGGGCCCGGCCCTATATAGGCGCGGGCGGCGGCCGGGCGCCTGGGGCCGGGGCGCCGCGGCCGTTCCCACACTCGGCGGCCAATGGCGGCGCGGGCCGCACAAAGGCGCCGGCCCATTAGCGCACGCTAAATTGCCCGTGAATTGGCGCCGGTACAATGGACGCTCCCCGAGGAGCAGGTGGGCCGCGCCGCACAATGTCCGGGCTGTGGGAACGCGCTCGCCCGCATTAGCATCCCGGGGCCGGGTGCTGGGAGCCCTGAGCCTCAATATGCTGCCTTTTCCCAGGCCGCGGGCGGGGGAGGGGCAGGAAGGAGCGAGCCCCTCCCCTCCCCCCACGGCTGGCTGGCTGTGGCCTCGGGAGAGGAAGGGGGAACGCTGGGGGGATGAGCGAGCGCGGGTGCGGCGCGTGTGCCCTCCCGACTCCCAGCACCCGGGCAGCTCCCCAGCGGGCACCTGTGCGCCCGGCCTGCAGGCCCCAGGCATCCCACTGCCCGTCGGGCTGGGCTCTGACACTGTCACCTGGGGCCTGGGAAATGGGCCGGCACTGCCTTCACGCTGGGCCTGGGCAGTTCCAGCGGGGAGCCTGGCACTGACCCTCACTCCCGCGGCCCCGAGGATGACCAGGTGCCCCGCGGGGGGGAGGGGCCCAGCTCAGGAAGGGGCTGCGTGTCACCCTGGGCAGGCAGGGGGTGGCAGTGCCGGAGTGGGGCAGATGCTGAGCCCTGCTCCCCAGCCCCCAACCCAGGGTGAGCCCAGCGGGTGGTGGGAGCCCCCTGCTCTCAAGACGGTTGCCTGGGAGCTCAGGTGTCTCCTGGGGGAGCCGGGTTAGGCCCAAGTGGGAAGCCTTGGCGCCAGGAGCCATGTCCTGAGGGTGGCAAAAGTGGCTGGGCCTCATCCAGGGCTGGGAGCTCCCCGACCCCTCCCCCCAGCGGGTCTTGGCAGTGACCCATAGCTGCGAGAGGCCCTTTGGGCAGGCCTGGCCCCGGAGTCCCTCAGCACAAGGAGCCATTGGTGAGCCAGGGCTGGGCGGTCCGGGAAGCAGTGCCAGGGTGGGGGTGGGGAAGGAGGGCTCAATTTGAAGCAGTGCAGGCTGGTCACCCCAGGGTGAGGTGGCGGTCTGCCCCAGGCTGGCCCTGGGAGACAGGGCCCCCCTCCAGCTGGAGTTCCTTCTGAGCCGCTCTCCCCCACTCACAGTTCAGCTTGCAGCTTGGGCTCAGCCAGCGGTGCTGAGTGGCGAGTGGGACGATGCTGTGGAAAGGGGGGGGTCATGCTCAGGAACATTTTGGGGACCCTTTCTTGCCATGGGCTCTCTGGGCTGGGGTGGGGAGGATCCCACCTGCACCCACACGACCCCTGGCATGGTTGCATCCACATGGGGGGTGGCTCTCAGCCCTGCCCTGCCCGAGCCAGGCTTCCTAGAGGGCAATGGGCCGGGCTGTGGCCCAGCCCCAAGAGGACACGTGCCGTGTCGGGAGGTGTGGCCCAACCCCCAGCCTGCCCGCTGCAGGGGGTGAGGGTGGTGGGTGGGCCGAGGGAGGCTGCCTCCCCTCTGCTGCCCTGGCCGGGGGGCAGCTTTGATCCAGTTTCCAGTTGTGGGAAATGAATGGTGTGAAGTCCCGGCCACAGCACGGGCCAGATGGCAGCGCGGGCGGCCCCCAAGGCACACGCCTGGTCTTTGTGGGCCACTTAACACGGTGAATGGGACCAGAGTGTGGGAAAGGCACTGGCTGCCGGCTCACGCCGCCGGCCGTCGGCGGGAGGCGCTGCGGGGGCCGGGGGCCGCCCTGGGCTGCCCGGCTCTGCCGCCCGCGTGTGTGAGACGAGGGTGGGGTGGGGACGGTGTGGGTCCTGCCCGCACCCCAGGGCCCCATGTGCAGTTCGGGTGCGGGTAGCATTCCCTGAGCTCAGGCTGAGCCTGTGCTGTGACCGCTGAGCTCATGACCTGTTCACCGCGATGCCCCGAGTCCCTGGGAGGGCAAGGGGTGCAAGGCAAAGCTGGGGGGCTCCAGCTGGCAAGGCCATATGGTGCCACCTTAAAGCATCAGTTGGATCTGGCAATGACATCTGGGTTTGAACCCCAAAGACAGGAAGGGGTGCCTGTGACAGGGTGGGGCACTATTCTGTGCCCTGCTGGCACCTGGGAAGGCAGCAGAGCACTGCCTGCTCCTGGGCCCCCTGGAGGGCTGTCCCAGGGTTCTGTTCTCGCCTGGCCCGGACCTGGGACGACCGTTTGGGCCATGAGCTAGTGGATGATGATGTCTCCGTCTGCCTTCAAATATAAAGCAATGTTTTTGTTTGTTTTTAAGATTTCGTTATTTTTTGAAGACGTATTTGTTTTCTTTGGAAAGGCAGATTTACAGAGAGACAAAGATCTGCCGTCTGCTGGTTCATCGTCCAAATGGCCAAACAACTGTAGCTGAGCTGATCCGAAGCCAGGAGCCTCTTCTGGGTCTCCCACGCGGGTGCAGGGTCCCGAGGCTTTGGGCCGTCCTTGACGGCCTTTCCAGGCCACAGGCAGGGAGCTGGAAGGGAAGTGGAGCTGCTGGGATTAGAACTGGCGCCCATATGGGATGCTGGTGCCTGCAGGTGGAGGATTAGCCAGTTGAGCCATTGCACCAGACCGGAGCGATCGCCCATCCATTGGTTGACACTCCACATGGTGCAGCTGCCAGCGCTAAGCTTCCTCTGGGTCTCCCACGGGGGCACGGGGCCCCCCACATGCACGGGGCCCCCACGCAGGCACAGGTGCCCAGATGGCTACAATACCGTCCGCTGCTTTCCCAGGCATGTTAGCAGGAAGTTGAATGGGAAATGGGACAGCCAGGCCTGAAACCAGTGCTCATATGGGATGCCAGTTGCGGGCAGCAGCTTAACGCACTGCGCCCCAGTGCTGGTCCCATCACGTGATCTATTGACGAGCTGGCAGGGTTGGCCGCCTGCCTGCCCCGTCAGAGGGCCTGTCCCCAGTGCATCCTGAGGGATGGCCCAGGTGCCCAGGTGCCTGCAGCTGGATGGGGCTCCGTGCCTTGTCGGCCGGCATTAGGGGTATGAACAGGTGTCAGGCACACATCCACTTCTGCTCTCTTTTTCAAGTGACAATAAATGCATGAAAGTTGAGAAATGGTTGAGGTGATTGTTTTTCTGGGACTGGAAACAGGAAGGGGAGGGGCCCTGTGGCCAGGCCTGGTCTGGAGCGGACACTGCCCACCGCTCTGCCCGTCTACCCCAGGGTCGACTGTGCAGGGCACATGGCAGCTGGAGTGCCATGGGAGGGGCCGGGCTGCTCCTTCAGGGCTCCCAGCCCCCCCCCCAGGGTTTCCAGAGGAGACTGTGGGGAGGATTGGGGTGGCCTGCAGCTCTGGGCTCTGAACCCCAAACCCTAGAAGTAGCAATGGGGCAGCTCAGTCGAGTGGGAGGCCCTGGAGTCACCGTGGCCCCCCTTGGGAGGGACGGAGGTCTAAGACCTCAGGTGCAGGCTGGAGATGGACACACCCCTGGGGGTGTCCTGACATGGCCCCTGCCCGTCACCCCTGGGGGTGTCCTGACATAGTCCCTGCTCGTCACTCTCGGGGCTGTCCTGACATGGCCCCCACCTGGCTGAGCCTGGCCTCCCAGGAAAGGCTGCCCTGGCACAGATGCACACACATGGTTATAAGGTGCCCATGCGCACGCAGACACAAATGGACGCTCCGGCCCCTCACCCCCCGCTCAGGGCCACAGCACTGCCTGCCCCTCCCCACTCCCGCTGGCCGGCTTCAGCCAAGTCACTGCGGGTCAGGGTGGAGTGGGGGAGGAGGAGGTGGGCAGGTCCCTCTGCCCCTCCTGCCTCCCTAGCCCAGCCTCTGCCTGTGGTTGCCTTGCGGAACAGCAGGCTCCTTCTCACTCCAGACCCCAGGCTGGTTGCAGCCTGGGGGAGCGAGGTTTGAGGAGGGGGCTGCAGCCTGCACTGCTGACATGGGCTCACCTCCCGTGTCTCTGGATGGCTGGTGGCAGGCCCTTGTCACCCTCTGCTGAGGTGACCCTGAGACCCCCATGCACAGAACCACTCCCCCCGGGGCCCCAGTGCAGAGTCCCCAGTGCAGGGTCCCCCAGCGCAGGGCCCCCCAGTGCAGAACCCCCCAGTGCAGGGTCCCCCAGTGCAGAGCCCCCAGTGCAGAACCCCCAGTGCAGGGCCCCCCAGTGCAGAACCCCCCAGTGCAGAGCCCCCAGCGCAGGGCCCCCCAGTGCAGAACCCCTCAGTGCAGGGTCCCCCAGTGCAGAACCCCTGTGTACCCCATATCTGGGAATTGGGGCCCAACACCCGTCCCATTGGACAGATGTGGCCCTGAGGGAGGGGTTCAGTCCCTGAGCCCATGGGAGGCCTCTTGGTTCCTTCTGCTTGGTACAAGCTGCCTGCCCCAGGGCCTCTAACTATCCTGTCAATTGAGCACCCAGAGCATTGTGGGGGGACACAAGGAGTGCTTTTGTCCCCCATTTCCTCATCTGATGAAGCCGGGGCTCCCCCAGCCAAGAAGGAGGGCGCATGGGGGCAGGGAGGGGTGTCCTCACTGAGGAGTTGGTGAGGGCCACCCAGGCCCACGGGCGTCCTGGCTGGGGGGGGAGGGTCTGCAGGTCAAGTGGGGGCAGGGGTGCAGAACGCAACCCCTTGCAAACGTCCCGCGGGGCGCTGGAGGCCCGGCGGGTGCCCAGCCCGGCGCCAGCCCTGGCCTCCCAGCCTCCGCTCTGCGGCGCGGCCGACCCACGTGGCCGCCCCTCCCCGCCAGCGGTGTCAAGGAGCAGTTCCTTCCCAGCCCGGCGCCCTCGGCCGCTCCTTTATGACGCGCGGCCAGATGGTCTTTTGGGAGGCGCCCCCCGCGCCCCGCGCGCCCCCCGCCTTCATTCAGAGTCAGACGCCGGCACTAATGCCGCGGGGGCGCCCAGGCACGCTTCCCCCGCGCCCTCCCGCCCGCCACAGTGTGGGAACGGGCGGCCCGCGCCGACCCACAGCCTGTCTGGCCCGCGCGAGGCACCCCGAGATGGGGCGCGGCGCGCTCGCTGCCAGGGCCGGGGGGCAACGCCGGGGTCTCAACTCCACTCATTCCCGAGTTTCCTCACGTCTGGAACTGGGGCGACGAGGGCCTTCCCAACAAGTTTGGCCTCTCCCTGGGTTTTACCCACATCCCGAGAGGAGCAAAGAGAAAGATTCCACCTGCTGGTCGGCTCCCCAAGTGCCAGCTACAGCCAGAGCTGCCCCCTGCACCTCCCTCCCAGGGGCCTGGAAAGCAGTGCAGTTTTCGATGCAGGGGGCAGGGACCCCAGGACGTGGGCCATCGCCTGCTCCTCCCCGGTGAGCATGAGCTGGCAGCCACCCGGTGCCTGGGCCTTGGATGTGGGCAGTGGCCCCCAAGCAGCAACCTGCCTTGCACCCCAACCTGCTGTGTGGGGAGACGCAGCCTCAGCCCTATTGTCAACTGCACTGTCCATCAAGTGCCCAGCCCCTCGCTGGTCCTGTCTGGCCATCGCCTGCCCGCCGCAGGTGTGCCTGGTTCTCACCGCGAGCGGCCCGCGTCCCTCTCCCGGGCTCTGGGGCAGCCGGGGAACTGAGTGAGTTCGCACTGGCCAGTGGCCATACCTGCCAAGGCCAGCGTGCTCAGGCTTGTTGCTAGCCCAGAGAACCAAGGCCCAGCCTGCCAGTGGGCGGCCAGGTCTGAGTGGATGCTGAGTGAGGGCGGGTGAGGCAGCCTTCAGGGCCTCTGCCCACCTGCCCATGGGCCGTCCTTCCCTCACAGCTTGCTGTCTGCACACAGCGAGAGAGAGCCGTTCTG